GACATTGAAAGGTAACTGTAAGGGAAAATTAGAAGTAAATGAATGAAATCAGTGATATTTAGAATGTAAATAACACTGGTTATTATATTGGAAGGAAATTTATTAGGTCAAATTAGGGTCTAAATTTAATGCTTGACAGAACTCCTTTAGGTTTAGCCTCTTTTGGTTAATTTGATGGAGCCATTGAGTTGAAATGCAAAATGACTAAGTTATATTAAGCCTCATAAACAACCTTCAGAAGTGAAGCACTATGATCATAAAAGTACAAATTATGAAAATATCTTTTATTCAAAACACTCTTTATGGCCATTCAAGTGTATAAGGCAAAGCAGCCATCTGATGGAATGATGGGATGGGAAAAGCTGCTCTGGTGGAAATATTGAGATCAAATCAAACTATTGTAGTAGAGGTTTGGGATTGTCTAACTTAGGTTGAATTATATTTGCATATTTATATTATGTATCAACATAAAATTACATACCTGTGCTTATTATGCTCATGGTTCTTCCAACCTGGTTAGTCTCACATCTTCTCTGTCTTCAGCTMGAATGTCATCTCTTCTATTTAAGTTTAGCCTAGTTCCCCCAGGTATACCAAGACTTAACCTATAAAATATTACACCTATTTAATAATAGCATAAATGTTGAGTACTGCATACAAGAGTATGTTGGTCATATTGCAATCCCTTAGACTCTTCAGAACTTCTTTACCTGTTTTCATCTCTATGAGGACTGTAGCTTATTGTGTTCAGAATCTACAGATGCATATGTAGGAGATTAGAGCCTGGCTAGTGGGAACTCTCTAAGCTGGTAAATGCTCCTCACCAACCTCCAGGACCTTGCCCCAGCTTTTCAGCATCCCTGCACCACAACATGGTGAGGGAGCATTCTCAATGTAGTGTTCATTAAGGATAAGTTCAGTGCTCGGTATACTGGAACCAACTGGCTGGGTTCAAATCCTAATTCCACTTCTTATAARATGTAATATTTTGGTCTTCTGTTGACTCAGGTGTCCTCATCTCTAAAACAGGGATGGTAATGTATTTTTTTCTCCCTGGAGTTTGGTTTGAGATCAAATGATTTCATAATAATGTAGTACATTTAGAAGACAACTGACACATAGTAGGCATACGAAGAATTTTTTATTTTTATGAGCTGTACTAATAGCAAATTATTTTGACCATCATTCACTTTTCAGTGTCACCCTATATACCACTGAGGGGAAAATATGGGTGTCACTGTTGACACACATTCTACCTTGTGGAAAACAGGGTAACCTGATGTGCCCTGGGATCCTCTAAAGTAGCTGCACATTCTGAACTGCATTCCAGTTGTATGATACCTGGTTGTGGATAGCCGAGAAAATTTTCTTGTCTTTTTCACTCCCCATATTTAATTCTGAATTATTTGGAAATGTTTAAACATCATGAAATTTTAAGTGAAAATCCAAGTTTCTGGAATTACTTGGAAATTTTTAGAACTAGCAGTTCTGGGGCCATGTTTTGACATGATAGTGACTGGATAGAGCTAAGAGCTGATTCCTTCCTGGAATTGACTAGTATTGACTCTTCTGTTCATCAGCTGGCTCACTGCATCTTTGTAATCTGCTTCTTATTGAGTTTGCTATCCTTGAATTAGGGTAACCTAAGCATCACTCTTTCTTTATATCATGAATGCCTTTACTTCCATAAAAATACTTTATTGCTCATACTAGATTATATGATTCTTTGTGAATCATGTTTTATTTATTTTTATGTCTTTGACTTTGGCTTATACATAGTAGGTTACGTCCTCATTCTTTGGACTGAGGAAGTCAAGATTCTTGAGACATGAGTTAAGATGATTTTTGCCCTTATACAGGAAAGAATTATGAAAAAAATAATTGAAAGAAAATGTATAATTGAGGAAGTCAAGTCTTATGAGTTATGTAGACAACCTTATATATTAGAGATGGAATTCTATTTATGTCAACTGTCAGGTTATAATGACGCATGAAGAACTGCAAATGAATGCCTTAGATTTGAATTATTATTCTTCTTTGCTAGTCATTTGATCYTGAACAAATTACCTAATCATTATGGGCTTCTTTTGTTGTTTTGGCAAAAATGTAGGTAAGAATAAATATTCCCCCAGTGATATAGTAAGTATTAAATGAAATATAAAATGTTGTTTGGCTATAAAAATGCTTTTAAAATGTTAATATATTTGAGGTTCATAGTTATATTTTAGTATTTACAGAAGAGAGAACAGGACTTCAGAAAAACTTGCTACTTAGTAGAAAAGAGAATTAGAGTCCAAACCTTATGTATCTTGGTTAGTAGGTTAGTTCTTTTCCCCACTAAAACATCATTTATATTGTATTTAAGGGCAATTGAAAGTCTAGAAATTTAGAATAGTCTGCTGGAGGTAGGATACACCAGAAATCCAGTAAATTTGTTTCAGATATTATAGCAATATCCATGCTCTGATTGATGCCAGAGACTGGAACTTCTGACCCTGTGTCAATAGAAATAAAGGCGTATGAGCACATGGGCCAAACTTTATTGGGAGGGTTTTATCTCAAGGAAAGGGAGGCAGTACTGTAGAGAGTCAGGCTGTTCCCCAAATGAAGAAATGGGCCAGTTTTTTATTGAGTTGTTGGGGTGGGACAGGGACTGGTAATTCCCTTTTGGTTGGGAGTGTGGTATTTCTTTTCWAGAAATATCTTCCTTGTGGAAGGTACAGATCATAGTTATTCACTATTGGAGACATTGTGGCACCAATATTCTGGTTTTTATGGTGCATCTAACTTGCAATAAGATTGCTAAAAAATGCGGCTGAGAAGGAGAAAAGAAAAGAAAGAAAGAAATGCACACCAGTTTTAAGGAATGACAAGCCAGGAGCTAAGCCTTGGGTGGGTTTTTCCATCTTCTGTTCCCATTATGGTCCTTGTTTCATGATCATCCTGGCATATGAAAAGAAAATCAAAAGATTAAATGATGTACATTCTTCATTTGGAAAAAAAAACTTTTAAAAAGCGTTTGTATAGAATAAGAGGCATAGACTGCAACTTCATTTTTTTGGGTTTTTATTGGTGAAAATTTCAGGTTAATACCCAGGTAAATTGCCTTTGTTTCTGTCTTAAGAAATTTTTCTTTTTTTTTCTCTTTTATATGAGAACAGAAAAATGTTTCTAAGTGAATGTTCTCTGGGTTTGGTCCTCTGGCTTTTAGAAAACAGAATGACATTTTGAAAATCAGAAGACCATTATGGAAACTGCATCTTCCATTCACTATTGGGGCCTTGGGCAAGTTACTCTTGATCTCACTTTTCTTATTTGTAAGATATTCTTACCTCTAGGGTTATGCTGAGGAAATGTGCCTGGCAATGTGCTTCATTTTAGCATATTGTTATTCTATTGTTTATTCATGGAGGGATCTTAGTTTATCTTATCTGATTCCTTGAACTTAAAAGGGGACTCCCTAACAGGCGAAATCAAGACAATTGTTATTGGCCCAGATTCCTTTGATATTTATGTATCTGGCTAAAACTTTCATTTTCTAAACAAGAATGACAAGCCAGGAGCTAAGCTTTTTTTTTTTTTTTTTTTTTTAATCAGAGACATGTATTTGCAAAATAGGAATAAAATTAATGTGGATTTCTAGCAATGCAATTTTAGAAATAAGGAATATGTTTAATAAGATTATTTATCACTGTCAGATCCCATCAAAAATGTATTGGGACAAAATTTGCAAATGTATGCACAAAATCTTCAAATACTATAAAAATTACTTTATTACATGATTAGTACCGTATAATTCAAATATAAAATTATCTGGAGTTCATCTACAATTTTCTAATAAGTAAAGTTATAAAATTACAAAAGTTTTTGTTCTATGAAATATGTATTTGTTAGTATAATAAAAATAATAACAGTGATTAGAATTACATATAACCACAGAAAAAGTGTCCTTTTTTCCCCCCTCATTTATCCTTTAGAGGCTGAATTGGTTTTATTTATAAATTGGTACAGCTCTTCCCCAGCATCTATGCTGGTTATATATTTGTAAAACTTATCCCCAGATATAGAAACTCTCAGAACCTGATCTTTAAAAAGACAATAGCTCAAAACACCTGGAGTACAGTTTTTAATCCTGACCCTATCACACTCCTCTCCCCTTGAATGACAATGAGAGGTTTGCAACTTTAAAAACATCAATATCAGCTTTACAAAACAATTTTTATTTTCAGTGTCAGCTGTTGWGTTCCAGAACCATAGGGATGATTTTTTTTTTCTCCCCACTATTGGTACTGAACCACCTGAGCTCCTCAGAACCAGCCTCTGCCTCACTGACCAATTCTCTGCTGGAAACATCTCGTTAATGATTATGATTGGATTGCTAAAGTTAGGGTATTTTATTTTAAATAAACTTCTTATTTTTTCTCAAATTATAAAATAGTTTGAGTCAGACATTTGCTTTACACAGTCACAAAACAGCAYTTTATAAATGAAAGTACTTTTCGGAGCAAAGTAAATACTGATGCAAGATGGATGAGGGAAGATAAGTAAAAAGAGAGAAGAGAATCCAATTCTGCTTATACCTTCACTCCAACAGATTGCAGATTCTAAAAAACACAGAAATTATAAAAGAAAACTATTTAAATGACAGGGGTTTATGAAATTATTTATTAACACATAATACAAACTATCTCAAAGTAAAACAAAACAAAACAAAACAAACAAACAAACAAAAACAACAACCAAAGCCAAGCAACCTGGTTACACAAGATTTTAATTTACTTAATGAAATTTTCTACCTCATAAGTAAAAGGTGATACAGAAAATCCAACCTGTTTGAGTTATTCCAACGGATGAGGAAGGGACAATTTTTTCCCCTTTCTTATAAAAAATCTCCTAAACACATTTTAAAACCCAGCTCTCTAATTGTCATGTTTTTGATATCTTAATTTAATAATTTGCATGACATTATTATTTGGATTTTTGTTTTCTAATAATTACAGGACACAACAAAGGATGAAGGTAATGAGACTGAAGCCAGCAGGATGAGTAAATTGAGAAGAACAAGGAAGAAAGCCACCAAATCACATCTCTGTTCAATGGAAGTGGGAGAAACGAATGCAGCCAGTTCCAATGGTATCTAACTACTATGAACTGTCAAGGATGCTGTGGTCCATGATAATCTCTATTTGGTGTTCTTTTTCATAAAACATTTCCTTTTTTTTCCTCTTTGGGAAAAGTAAACAAACAATAAAGTGAAATTTATTGCTACGTAAGTCACATAAAAGATGGCAGATATAAGCTTACAATGTAGATTTATAAAAAAGAATCAAAATAGTCACAATTTAAAGAGGGTTAGAACTAGGATGACTGTAGTGGGATAAAAGAGAAAGAAACAGAAGAACAAAACAAAGTAGGAAGAGTCATACCTTTCTGCACTGAAAGCAAATGTAAAGAACTTTACTGAAGATTTGAGAGACCACAAGAAAGATGTAGAACAAGTTTTCATACCACATGTTGGAATTCTAACTAGATTCCAATAGATCTGAAACAGTGTTGAAACGAAGAGTTAATTTGGACAACAAACCAGGAACAGTGGTGTTCCAAGGCAGGTGCACAAGAAATTGCCTGCACATGGTAGTAGTAAAATTCAGCCAGATGTTTTGAAGATTTTAGTACTGCTTTAAAATTCTCTACATATCACACACTTCGATAAGGCCTGCAACTAGGGGGGACTACTCCTGTTCTTTCCTTTGGTCACTGTCTAGGAATACACTACGTTTTTAAGGATATTTATTTATTTATTTATTTATTTTTTCTTTTCTTTCTTTGTGGTGCTGGGGATCAAACCCAGGGTCTTATGCATATATGTAACTGCTGTACCACTGAGGTGTACCCTCTATTCCCTCTTCACATTGTATCAAAAGACAATGGAACAATGGTGACATGTTCAATATTTTCCCTTATTACTACAGAGAGGATCAGAAACCAAATGACATGCCACAAAATGGGGGTTTCGAACAAACCAGTTGTGAGACTTGGCTATGTTGAGTCTCATCTGTCCCACAACGACAAGGACTCTCAGGATCAAACAACAATGATAAAACAGTCACCCTTCAAGATGTCTTCCAATGCTCCTGGTGGTGAATATAACTCAAACTCTGGTAAGGATTTATTGATAAAGATTCTGGAATAAATGAGCTTATGGTTCTAACTACTAATTCTAGGTTTATATTTGAATTGGAGGTAATGTGATGTTAGTTGAGGGATGCTAGCCTTAGAATCACAACACAAGAAAATTTGTACCTCTATYACTTGTATAGTAATTTGCAGTTTTCTTAAGCCTGTTTGTTCCTTATCTGGAAATTGTAGGGCTTATAACTGAAAAATCCTTCAAGTCTTTTCTAAAAATGAAATTCTGTTATTTTTAGGTTTCTGAGTTACTGATAAACAGCTATTTTGGTACATCAGTGTATTRGATACAAGTGGCAGAAACTAGTTAAAAAGAGGTATTTATTCTGTGAAGGCATCTAAAGAAAGACTTGAACAATCAGGGTTTGGAAAAGTGGAAATATAGTGGGTTGTGAAGTGACAGGAATAGTGGCTATGCTGTTACTCTCRCTTCTGAAACCAATTACAAGTTTTGGAGTTCCACAAGGCTAAGCTTAGTTTTGAAAACTTGGTAGGACTTGGAGAAGCCATCATACTAAGGTCACAGTTTACTAAAACAAAAGGATGCAGATTAAAATCAGCCATGGGACAAAGTCAGGAAAGTACTAAGCACAGAGTGTACACTTGTCCTCTCCCAATGGATAAATGCAGTAGAATTTTTGCCAACTTGGGAAACTCAGTTGAATTTGGTATCCAGGATCTTTATTTGGAGTCAATGATTAACTGGTCATGTAACTGGGCTCAGTCTCCAGTCCTTTTGTGGGTCAAGCTGATACTGTGTAATTCAAATCTCCTCCATAAATGACATTGTTAGACTTTCTGGCATTGCCCAGAGCTCCTAGGTGCACAGATGTTCTTTTCAGACAGATCATTCCAAGGGCTTAGAAATGATCACTTGCGATCAAGGGCAAACCTCTTCTTTGGAAAGATTACATTCTTTCCTACATACAGTGCCTGACCAGGAACTGGAGAGTGGGAAATGGACACTAACAGACTCCACATGTATTAGTCTTCTATGGCTACCATAACAAATGATCACAAAGTTAGCATTATAAAAAACACAAAATAAAGAAGTCTAGGTTGACTTAGTTGGTTTCTTTCCTTTAGATTTTGTGAGACTGAAATCAAGCTATTGTCATCTAAAGACTTGGAAATAACATACTTCCAAGTTCATTCAATATGTGGGGAGAATTCAGTTCCTTCTTGTTGTAGGACTGAGATTCCTGTTTCCTTGTCAGCTGTCAATTGGAGGTGGCACTTTACTCTAAAAACCCTTCCTTTGTTCTGCATCAGAAAGACAGCACTGATGCCCAAATGCTTCTCATGTTAGGAGTCTCTTTGAATTCCTCTTTTTCTCTTTTTTTCTGCTTCCAGCTGGAGAAAGTTCTCTGTTTTTAAGGGCTCATTACTGGATAATGTAAGATAAACTCCTAATTTTAAGGTCTATAACTCCAATTTTACCCGGAATATCTCTTTTGCCATGCCATTTATAGATTCCAGGGATTAGGACATGGTAAAATCTTGAGCAGGTGTTCGGCTTACCAYATGACCTCTCATCTCTGATATTCTCTGTGCTTTCGCCATGATGGGAAGAACATGAGCATTGACAGCCTCTAAATATCAGGAGCTGTCAATACAAATGTCCACAGGTACCACAGAGGTAATAAAAATGAGAGGGATGGGCTGATGTAGGGAAATGAGTGGACCTGGTCATGAGAAATTACAGCAGAGTTCAAAATAACTGTGGCCCAAGGGCCAAATTGAACTGGTTGATCAGTTTTTGTTTAAAAAAGCAACACACACACACACACACACACACACACATTTGTGTAGGTGTATGGTTGCTCTCATGCAAAATGGCAGAGTCAAGTAGCTGTAAAAGATACCATGTGGCCTACAAAGTTGCAAATATTTACTATGTGATCCTTTACAGAAAATGTTTGCTACCTTATGAGCTAGCAGATGCATACCTCAACCAGGCTACCTCAGAACTCCAGCCAATTACTACTATGAAGAAATATGCAGCAAGTTACCAGATTCAGTTTCAAAAATCTTACAAGAAAAATTTTTACATGAATATTTCAAATAATCAGCTGTTGTTAACTAATTCAAAAAGGTTTCTAAACACCTGGAAGATTGATCAGAAAACATCTGCTGCCTGTATTGACTCCTCCATATGCAGTGTGTGATTTTTGTTTTATATATTCTAGTTTCAGTTACAAAAGAGTGTTGGGATTTACCATATATTAGTTGTAACTAAAAAGTGTGGGGAAAAATTTGTGCCGTCATCTCTCTTTGCTCCATCGACCACAAATAGGGGATGGGTACATTACTTACTCAATCAATTTGGAAGCTCCTRCTTTGGTCCAGGCTGAATTAAGTTCTCTACAGTTTCTAAATACCAGTTTACAATTCCCAAACCACTAATATACCATTTGAAAATGAATATAAATACCAAGCCCCAACATGAGTATAAGAAATTTTGACGAGGTATATTCTTCTTTGTGATAACTAATTTGGGTTTTTCCAAAAACTTATGTACTTTTTCGAAGATAAGCCCTTATTCCTCTCATTTTTTTCTTTCATGGTTTGGGCCTGGTCATAATGCCAACTGGACTTTCTGACWCTGTCTAAGCTGATGTGATGTGGCCAGAGGGTGGGGGCACCTTTGAAGTAACAGGGTGGTCTCCCTGTAGAAATGTGTGTAAAGGATGATGGGCCCTTGGAAAGGACTGTGGCATCCCAGGCGTTCAATAAGCTGAATGGATTACAGAGTGTGTTCTCAAATGCACTTTTACCCTTTTTTGAATTGGTATTTCTGAAAGCCCAACTGCCTACTCAATCTGCCTTTTATAAGTGACCACGGCTTGTTCTCTGTAACTGAAATACGACTTCATTGTCACTGAACACAGACAACATTTCTCCAGTGCCTTCTAGAGTTTTGTGGGTTTTTAAAAAAATTTCTTATTTTTTTCCCTAAACATTCACAGCAGTAAAACTTCCTGTACAAAAACACATTGATTTAATTTATTAGTCCTCTGAGGGGATAGGATAGGAGAGCACCTCCCAGGAATCACACTGTAAGAAAAACAAATGAGCCCCTGAACTGGCAATTATCTGCCTGCTATTCATCATGTGCAGCTGGGAAAGGCTGACCAAAACACTTAATTGTAAGTAACAAGTATGATTTATTTGAAGAAAAGAAATTCAGACAATGATGCAGCAAGATTAGTTGATGCCTTGAAAATGAAACTAGATTGGATAGGGCTTTCATATTTAGTGAAAGAGTTGAATTGGTAAATGAAAAATTTAGTACTAAAGATACATACTAAAATATGTGATGTCAATTTTTTAAAATTTTAAACAATTTTTACTAGAGCATTATAGTTATACATAATAATTGGGTTTGTTTTRACAAAATCATACGTGTGTGAAATTTAATTTCAGTCCCTATTCCCCCACTTTCCCCTCTACTCCTCCCTGCCCCTATCTTCTTTTCTCTACTCTTTCTTTTGCTCATTTATTTATTTTTGATTGGTTCTTTCTACTTATTCATAAAGATGAAATTCCTTGTGGTATATTTGTATATGCACATAATGTGATTTTRTTGAATTTATTCCACATTTCTCATCTCTCCTCCCTCCCTCTCAATCTCCTTTTTCTACGTTGGTGATGATTTCTAAATCTTATGACACCTGATCCTCTCCTCCTGCTTTCCCTTATTATACTCTAGCTTCCACAGAAAACATTTGTCCCTTAACTTTCTGAGTCTGGCTTATTTCACTTTGCATGATGTTCTCCATTTCTATTCCTTTGCCAGCAAATTCCATAATTTCATTCTCTATGGTTGAGTAAAACTCATTGTGTAATTAAACCACATTTTCTTAATCCACTCATCTATTGATGGGCATGAGATACAATTTTTACTTATTAATTTGACAAGGTCAAATCAAGTATAGATTCATTCATTCATTCACTCATCCAACTACTTACTTGTTAGAGGAGTGGTCACTGAGTGCCTACCATATACTAGCACTGCTGCAGGTATTGAGGATGCACCAGCAAGTAAAATTGGGCCCCTGCTCTCATGGGGCTCATGGGCGAAGGAGGAATGTCTGATGGTAGGAGGCAGTGAGTTCTCTGAAGAAAATGGAAAGGGATAAAATACTACCATCAGCTGAATTGTGTCTTTTAAAAATTCTTGTGTTAAAGCTGTTCCTCAGTACCTAAGAATGTGACAGAATCCGGAGACAGTGTCTTTAAATAGGTAACTAAGGTTAAAGTAAGTAAGTCAGATGGGTTCTATTCCAGTATTGGCTGGTGTCTTCATAAGTGGAGAAAAGGAAACAGACTTGCACAGAGGGAATGTCATGTGAAGATATTGGAAGAYGATGATCATCCATAAGCCGAAGAGAAAGGCCTCAGAAGATGTAGCTCCACTGATAACTTTGATCTTCAACTTYTACCCTCCAGAATTATGAAAAATCAAACTTCTGTCATATGATCAGAAATATTTGCTGTGCAGCTCTAGCAAAYTAATACATACACTCACTGACCAGCCTGAGGGCAACTTGGAGCATTAAAGTGAATTGGAAGTTGCTATCTACATTTTGATCAAGGCTCACAGAATTAATAACTCAGTTGATTTTTATTTTAGCTCTTTCAGATTACAAAATCTTCTCACTTAGACGTGCTGGCATGTTTATTGCCTATTGTTGCCAATGTTAGGTAATTTAACATTTTATGAGGACTTTTTCTGGATGCTTCCTAGATATACATATCCGGTATGAAATCCAGTATGAAAACTATGTGGTGATTTAAAAAAAAAATCCATCTTAGTGGCTGAATATTTTTCTTATTTTAAAATATTCTTAGTTGTTGTAGAAAATTTAGAAGATATAGGTAAGGCAAATAACTAATAAGATTACCTATCATCCTATTACTGGAGAACCTGTAAATTACCTTTTTCCTTTAAAGATGCCTTCTTTATAGCTTATATATAATTGTTTATTATGTTTAGAACACTGAGCATTTGGAAATTTCTGCATTCTAAAAATGCTTATAAATTTTATTTAAGAAGCATTATTCAACTTGGGCTACTCACCCAAAATTTCAGAATAAGCTGGGAACACAGCAATTGTTAATTTAGCATGAAACATTGTAATTGCTACAACTTAATTGTTTGTGTTAAATGGAAGGTAGTTATAAAGCCTCAGGAGTCTCAGAGTAGCCAAACATATCAGTGACAGGACATTATCTCTGATATATTTGCATAGGTGGAACCAGTAATTTGTTTTCCTCATGCTTCMTGTATTTAAAATCTACTTAATCTGTTTTTAAACTGTCAATTTTATGCTTATTTTTAAAGCCTAATTATATCTTGAAAAGGATACTCAGGTATCACTGTAAAATTATTGCTGTTCAATGTCAGCCATGTGACAGATTGACGGGTGTTCAAATGCAGGCATGATCACAGTGTCATTTACTAGGGTTGGAGTAATTGTGCTCACTTTATGCGTTTAAGTAGCACTTACATGGTGCTTACRGTCTGCCAGTAACTGTTAAGTAACTTGTTTAATCCTCATAACAAGCTTATGAAGTAGGTAATATTTTATCTATGAGAAAGCAGAGGCACAGAGAGGATAAGAAAGTTGCCAGGCAAAGGCAGGATTTGAAAGGAGGCAGATGGGCTGAACCAATATACTCTGTGATGCCTCCCACAAGTTCTGCCAGTAACTAACATTTATAATGTGTATTATGTGCTGTAGACATATTCATTCATTTTGTGGTAATGAGCCCCCCGTGAGGAGTCAAGAAGCCCAGATTCTAGTTTTCATCTTGGCAATGAACTGAAAATGTGACTTGGGGATCTCATTGTGCCCCTCTGGGACTCAAGATGATGAATTGGTCAGGTTAGAGGATTTATCTCCAGCCTTCTGTAGCTCTGAAGTTTTAGAATTTGCAGACTATCTTAATAGCTTTGAAAAGAATATTTTATTATGTTTTTAATTTTAAAACTAAGTATGCAATTTAGATTTTTCATYTATACTCTCATTCTTAAAAAGCTTTTGTTGCTTATTTAAACAAATTTTAGACTTGACAGAGATATGAATTCAGGTGAAAAAAAACAATACAGACAAAACAAAAAAACTGACCAAACAAACAAAGCCACAGGAAATAAATTTAAACAAACAATAATTTTATCTTAGATCATACAGGAACTTTTAATTTAGGTAATATCAGGTAACTCTGGAAGACCCCACATTGTTCRATGATATACAGACTTTTATGGTGCCAATGCTATCCAGTTATGCAAATATGTTCTAATTTCCATAAGCAAAGAAATTTTCAGTAAGTACCTACATATATATGATAATGCTATATCCTTATGCAGACTTTATGTTCACTTAACCTAGTCCTAACTGGTAAATCATTTTTAAAATGCTGTTTAGACACAAGGTTCTTGGGAGCATGGCAAAAGGCAGGGTAAGAAAGGTTAAGACAGGACTCACATGATGGTTACATTTTGCTAACCCTCATAATAACTAGTTCCTTGTTCTTTTGTCTCTAGTTAGCTTCTCAGTTTATCATGATGGAATGACTTAGAGCCTTCTTTATTTTTACAGATCGCAACAGGGACAACACTCAAATTTTGACTACACCTCAGCTTTCTTCTAGAATCAAACACATTAAACAAGAGATGGCCAAAAATCACCTCCAGTTTGTGAGATTTGAAGCAACAGACCTGCATGGTGTGTCCAGATCTAAGAGTATCCCTGCACACTTTTTCCAAGTGAGTTTTACACAAAATTAGGATTGAATGTAATTTCATGACCATTAACAAGCAAATGGTCCTTATTACTTGTCTTTATTTTCTTGTAACCCACACAGCAATTCAAGCTGAAAACCAATAATTTATTTTGCTTTTCCTTATCTCTATCCAAACACGTTATTGTCCCCCAAGGAGCTGAACATATACTCTCAGCTTTCGAACAACAATTCCTTTTATCCAATAGAAGCACAAAACTAATTAAGACTGGYAATTTTAGTCCTTCTGCCTGGAATAATTTCCCTCCACAGAATTATCTTTTCTCTTCTTACTGCAATTATAAAGATTATATTTTATTTGACATGAGAAAATTGCAACAGAAGACCCAAGAGCAAATATGAAAGGGAAAAATGATTAAATAGAAAGAATTTGCTAGATAAAAGGAATATCCCTTTTAGCTCTAACTCTGATAAGAAAATACCCCATTGTTATTGGATGACTTAATGTATATTAAGTTCTTGAAAATAGTGATATCAAGAAACATTGCATTTGGGGATATATTTCGAAACTTTCTAAGTTTTTTTAATGGTTAGTTTATTCCATATGCTTGTTGGTTTATTTATTTTTCTGTTCTGGGGATTGAACCCAGGGATGCTTTCACACTGAACTTCATCCCTAGATTTTTWAAAAAAAATTTTTTTTTTCTGTACTGGGGAGTGAACCCAGGGGTACTCTACTGCTGAGCCACATTCTCAGCCATTTAATTTTTTTTTTTGAGACAGAGTCTAACTAAGATGTTCAGACAGGCTTCAAATTTACTATCTTCCTGTTGCTGATCACAGAGAGGTGCCACTGTGCCTGGCTCATATGTCTATTTTAATGATTGATTTGTTGTAATATTTCATTATGTTTCTTAGGAAGGGGTATCATTCAATAGTATTTAAGAAAGTATAGAGTTAAGTATTCTCCAAGTTTAAGTATTTTAAGTATGTCATATTTTTATTATTTTAATATTAAATTATGATTTTTCATATTTTGCTTATGTTAAGAAAATTGGTATATCTTAAAAATCCAGTTTGAAAGATTCCAACAGGCTCAAAATTGTTTCTTAAGAACCCATCAGAGCAAGCCTACAATACCACCAACTCTGAAGGCTGAGGCAGGAGGATTACAAGTTTGAAGCCAGCTTCAGCAAGTTAGCAAGACCCTGTCTCAAAAAATAAAAAGGGTTGGGGAGGTAACTGAGTGGTAGAGAACCCCTGTGTTCTATCCCATATATTGCAAACAAACAAACAAAACATTTGTTTCTCAAGAAATTCTTTGTACTTATTTGACTGCAAATATTTTTTCTTCTTTATTCAGTTAAGGACACCTGCTAGTTAATTTTGATAACAAAATGTGAAATTTGCCATAGGCAGGTCCAGAAGATGATGCATATGAATCTCTTTCAATCAATAAGAAACTGAAACTGGTACTTCAGCCACTTGCCAGACCTCAGTATAAAACTGTTTGCTATTCAGCTTTTTTTGGGGGGTCAAATTCTAATCATTTATTCAATTAATGACAAGCTACATATTTAGAATATTACTTCAGTTTTTCAATGGAACACATTTACACAATATAACTCAACATGCTGTTTACATTTGCTGAAGACTGATGTGCTGGACATAAAAATAAATTGACCTCTTGTTTTTCAAACTACTATGGAAAATATTTCCAATTTTTTGTTCTATGTCCACATATCACAATCACTTTTTTAATGGAGTTCAGCTAGGAAAAAGTCTGTTTGTCATGGGAATTTTGGTATAACTCATAATACAGCTTCTCAATTAATAGATTTTTTCTTCATTTCCTAATAATTCACTTTCTTATTTCATTATCTAGTTTTTATTATTTTATTCTCACTTAACAATCAGAGTATACACACATTTTTTAGAAAACATCTGACATTCATTTTGGAACTTTCAAAGATATAAATCATAATGAATATTTATATCATGAATATTTGTAATTTAAGATAATTTGTTTTGGAAAATTTATTAAGGAATAGACATTAGAAACAGATTCATTTATGCAAGCTGATCTAAACAATATTTCCCACACAATTATGCATGGGAAACTGATTAGATCAAGTGTGGTGTCAATAATTTGAGTCTGCTCAGGGCTTAGTAAAAAGTAATTTAGCTCTTTAGAAAAGTAATTTTAAAACATCTTTCCTATTTGTGGACAAAAAAAATATCAATTTGAAAATTATTAGACTAGGAAAGTGTAGAAAGATAATATAATCCATTTTTTATGTATAGACGAAGAAAATGAGGCCCAGAAAAGTTAAGAAAATCTTTCTAAAAATTAGGCAGACAGGCAGCAAAAGAGTGAGGATGTTAGTATGTGAGTCTGCACTTCCAGCTCAATTCTTTTTTTCCCCATGCATCTACTGCCTCCAGCTCAGCTTTAAAATGTCCTTTTATTCTTCATTTGAGCTCAGTATTTTTTTTATTAAATAAAAATATTGATTTTTTTGAGAAAAACAAATCATCTCGTAAGAATGAAGGAAAAAACCCCAAACTGTTAAATAGTTTTTAAAAGGTCAAAAGGGGAATCAAGGATAAAATGGTGTCTATATTTTTTGGAGAATTTGCCATGTGCTTGGTACTGGGATAACTGTTTTACAAGCATAAGCACATTTTAACCTTACAACCAGTTCATACTATCTTTGTTTTTTTTTTAATTAAAATTATGGTGGTTCGTTCTATCTTTGATCTAATCAAAATAGAACATACTGCCCTAGAACTAATTCTTGGTTTATTTCAATGGGTGACCTTCATTGTGGTCCAAATTTTGATTGCCACAGGGTTTTGAATTATTCTACAAGAATTTTTTTTTTGAGTTCAGAGTGATCTATATTGAACTGTGAAGTTGTCCCCATGCTTTATAAAAAATCTTTTTTATATCTCTAAACAAAACTTAAGATAATTTATTATCATGAACAAGATACATTCATGTGTATTTACATATTTCCCAGAAAAGATGGGAAAGAATTTAAATTCAGCATATTCAAAAAAGAATAAAAAAATGAGAGTGCTAGAAGAGTGTTCAGAAAAATACAGATTAAATAGCCTGAAKAATATGTGACTTTTTACTGTTCCACATGTTTGTGAAGGACTGTTGGAATGAAGTGGTAATCAACTTTTCTCCACTGTTCACAGTGAAATGAGTACAAACACAAATTTAAATTGCAACAAATCTTAGAAGTTTCATGAATAAAATTCATTATCCCTCATTTTAGATACACAGAACTAATATAAGATGTTCAAACTAAAAAAGTAGACAAGCAGGGAAATAACATTATTTCTTGCAGTGCAAATTTAAATTGAGGAGTCCATATGGGAGCGTTCTAAGATTCCATAATGTTTGTGTGCATATGTGTGTGTGTGGGMGGGGGTGTGCGCATGTGCACACAATATTAATGTGTATATGTTCTTGAGTAATTTGCAAAGTTAAATAGGCACCAAAGATGCTTAGTTCACTCAACTTCATTGCTGATAAAAGCACATTTGGATCAGCCAAGTCAGTTGGCATTTGAAAGTATGTGCAGAGACAGTGGAGGGTGAAGGAGGCAGTGGCTCAGGGTCACAGTATGTGAGTCTGCACTTCCAGCTCAGTTCTTTTTTCCCCATGCACCTACTGCCTCCAGCTCAGCTTTAAAATATCCTTTTATTCTTCATTTGAACTCAGTACTTTTTTTATTAAATAAAAATATTGATTTTTTTTTTAGAAAAACAAATCATCTCTTAAAAATAAAGAAAAAACACTGTTAAATAGTTTTTAAAAGGCCAAAAGGGGAACCTAGGATAAAATGGTGCCGTATTTTTTGGAGAATTTGCCATGTGCTTGGTACTGGGATAAAAGTGGACCAGTAGATTACCGCTGCTAGCACCAGCCCTCCTTGGTAGGCATGCTTTTTGAGATTTGGGAATAACATAAGGAAATGGTCTCCCTTGCAGAATAGTAGCATGTTTTAATAACCTCGTGATGCTCATTATTTCATGAAAATCATATTTTATAGCCAGGAACTATTCTCTACCCATTGATGTAATTATCAGCACATGAAGAATTGTTGGAATTTCTACACAATTTCCAGAAATTGTTTTATATGTCTGTTCAACTTTATAACCTCACCACTTCCATGTTGACTGGCACAGAGCAAAAGTTAAATGGTGAAAACCACTGAATCCCAGAAATATATGGCTAGAAGTGCCTTAGCAATCATCCAGTTGAACACTTATGTTTTATAGACAGGGAAGCTGAAGCACATAGTCCACTAAGTTACCTAGTTTCACATCAGTAATTAATAAAAAAGCTATGGCCAGAGGCCAGATCTGCTGACACCTAGTTCATACTGATTAGAAGGCTACAACATTTTGGCAACTATAACTTTGGAGATATAGGTTCATAGTAACTGATAGGGTTTCTGGGATTCTCTGAGACAGTGAGGTAGTTAATTCTTAAGTGGGTTGTAAAAATGAATAAAGAGAGGAGTGAAACTGTCAGATGATTTGGCTCCTCTGTRTTAGACAACTGTCCTGTGTGCTGTAGGTCTGACTATGTTCAGTTCTATGACAAAGGTTGAGGACCTTTACTGTAGAATTTTGAGAATAGTTAACTCAGGGGATTATAATAGAATAAGCCATAAACATGGCAATGCAGGTATCTCTTCGATGTGAGAATATTTTCTTTGGATATATATGCTGAAGTGAGATAGCTGGATTATGTGGTTGACCTATTTATTGTTGGATAATTCATAATAGCTAAGATATGGAATTAACCTAGATTCCACAAAATTGATGAATGGATAAATAAAAGTAATATAGATACCAATGGAGTACTATTCAGCCATAAAACGAATTCTATCCTGTCATTTGCTGCAAAATGGATGGAACTGGAGGACATTATATTAAGTGAARTAAGTCAAACAAACAAACAAAAAAGACAAATACCACATGTTCTCTCTATATGTGGATACTGAAAAAAAGTTGTTCTATATCTGCACTCTCTAGAATAATGTTTACTACAGACTGGGAAAAGTGGAGGGAGTGCGGATAGAGGTTGGATAATGGATAACAAAACAGACAGGAATCAAAAGTTTTATAGTTGTACAGCATAGTAAGGTGATTATAGTTCATAATAACCTTTTATGTTTTGTGAATAATTAGAAGAGACATGCTTGAAGGCTCCAAACATAAAGTAATGCTAAGGAGATAGAAACATTAATTACCCTAGTTTTATTAGGACACATTTACACATATGTGGAGTTATCACACTGTATACCYTAAGTATATCCAATTAAAACATTAATTAATTATATATAAATTAAATTATAATATATTATATATTATATAATTATATTAAATTTTATCTAAATTAAATTATATATAAATTAATATATAGAATAAATAAATCAAAATAAAGCCTTTTCTGAGGTTTTAGCAAACTGTACTATAAAATAAAAAGTTCTTTACAGAGTACTTTTGATTATGATAATTTAAAATATTTCCATAGGCTTTTATCTTTGTCTTTTCCTATAAAGAGATTTTCTTTATCATAACACCATTTATTTATAAATGTTTATAGCATTTATAACCACTGTTTTCCCATCCATGAGCAAGCATATAAAACCTTCAAGTCTTAAAATATTAAGAATTACTTATAAAAGTGCCTTTGGGGGATGTATTCTGAAATATTTAAAATGTATCTGATGATATTGRGTTAGTGTAAGCAGATGTTAAACATATATGTGTGTGTATACTATATATAAATATGGTAAATATATGTGYATATTTATCATTAGCATAGCTCTTTCTCAGACTTTTTGTTTGTGTTCTAGTTTCAAAACCGAGTTAATTTATCCTCTTCCTTTTTTAGGAAAAAGTGACCCATGGTGTTTTCATGCCCCGAGGTTATCTTGAATTGATGCCGAATCTGAAGGACAATGAAGTGAATCACATAAGAGCCACCTGTTTTAATAGTGACATAGTCCTGATGCCGGAGTTATCAACCTTTCGAGTTTTGCCATGGGCAGAAAGAACTGCGCGAGTGATATGTGACACCTTCACTGTGACTGGGGAACCTCTGCTGACCTCTCCAAGGTATATCGCAAAGAGGCAGCTGCAGCAGCTGCAGGACTCCGGTTTTTCCCTGCTCTCTGCCTTCATCTATGATTTTTGCATTTTTGGTGTGCCCGAAGTTATCAATTCAAAGACCATATCTTTCCCTGCTTCAACATTTCTAAATAATCATGACCAGCCCTTCATGCAGGAACTCGTGGATGGCTTATATCATACTGGGGCCAATGTTGAGAGCTTTTCCTCTTCTACTAGACCTGGTCACATGGAAATCTGTTTTCTGCCAGAATTTGGCATTAGTTCAGCTGATAATGCATTTACCCTCAGAACAGGTGTCAAAGAAGTGGCAAGGAAGTATAATTACATCGCCAGCTTTTTCATTGAGACTGGATTCTGCAATTCGGGAATCTTGTCTCATAGTGTCTGGGACATTGATGGGAAGAAAAACATGTTCTGCAACAATTCTGGAACTGAACAGCTCACGGTCACTGGGAAAAAATGGTTGGCAGGTCTTCTGAAGCATTCTGCTGCTCTCAGCTGCCTGATGGCGCCTGCTGTTAGCTGCCGAAAGCGTTATTCCAAGGAGAGTAAAGACCCGAAGGAGAGTGTGCCTGCGACATGGGGCTACAACGATAACAGCTGTGCCTTTAATATCAAGTGCCATGGCGAGAAAGGCACCCGGATAGAAAATAAACTAGGCTCAGCAACAGCAAACCCTTACYTGGTGCTGGCTGCGACGATAGCTGCAGGCTTGGATGGACTGCAGAACAGTGATGGCGCTTTGGTTGGTCCAGATGAGGGCACAGACCTTTCTCAGTTAAAACCTTCAGAGATCCCTTTGAAACTGGAAGATGCCCTTGTGGCACTGGAGGAAGATCAATGTCTGAGAGAAGCTCTAGGGGAAACTTTTATTCGCTATTTTGTTGCCATGAAGAAATACGAGTTGGAAAATGAAGAAACAGATGCTGAGAGAAATAAATTCTTAGAGTATTTTATTTAGAATAGAACTATTGAGCTTTAGAGATGATATCATGACTTAAGTAGTTGATCTATCTAGAAGAAAAGATTGAGCTTTTGTAATTAACAAGACTACAAATGCATTCACTCTTTTTTGTCCCCATGGAATATTTGATAGATGATACTGCTGAGAGGATTCTGATAACATAGAAGCAATAAAGTTGCAGTGAAACTCCAAGATGCAAATTGAACCAGCTCTTGTCAGTTAGTCATCATTTCCTCTGTGTTATGCTGACCTACAAAGGCATATTCAGTTTGGGGACAATAAATACATTTACACGTTGAAAAAAAAAAGACGTAAACAATAGGAAACAATTTAAATGACTAAAAAAATAAGGGAATAATTTCAATTCTACACTTGGGTTGTGACTGCCAGGGAGAAAAATATGTTAATATAATCTTACTAATCAAGACATATTAAGGATATAGTTGTAAGCATCATTATATGTTTTCTAAATACATTAAATAAATATGGCAAAATATGTCATGATGACAAGTCAGTAGAAGTTTTTACATGTCTCTTTTCTTTTCAACTTGATCCACTAGGTCTTGAAAGGTTTAGAGATCTCAAGGTTATGATGATCCCAGGAATCAAATCCAGAAGAAATAGAATTAGGGCTGGGAATCATCAGGTCAGATTTTAAAAATGACCAAAGCCTTTCTTTAAACAATGTCTCATAAAGAAGCCCAATCCATAAAAGATTGTGTGTGTGTGTGTGTGTGTGTGTTTATGATCTGCCTGCTTTGTTTCTTCTTTTTTTTTTTTTTCTTTAGTGCTCAGATTGAACCCAGGGCCTCATACATGCTGGACATGCTTAGCTGCTGAGCTACATCTCTAGCCCTGCTTCATTTTTGGAAACTCTATAATTCTCTGAAACTTCTTGTGCTCTATGGAGTGTGAGAACAACTGCCTAGCTAACCAGGGCTATGTTTGCAGCTTAAGTTTATATTTAAATTACCAATTCTGTTTTCCATAGTGACTGATATTTCTCCAGAGAATATTAAATGTTCCAGGCCTTTGAATGTGATGGTTTTGCAACTATCACTAAAGTTTAGCATCTTTTGGGAAAAAGTCCAAAATTTATTTACTACCAAATGAAAACACTCTTCACTGCTTTGGATTAAACAGGAGATTTTTATGTTCAATTAAAGCTGACTGTGGTCTCAATTTAGATGGGAAACACACAAGCAGAGCASTAGAATTTGGCTCAGTTCCTCCTATTAAAATTCTTAGTAGCTTAAATAGTGAAAGTTGGGTCTGTCCTTCACTAATTGCTCACCTCTCTTTTCCTTTGAGGCACRAGAATATTTGGAAATACAAGAATAAAGTTCATGGATGGATGAAGTAGTGAGAAAGGTAATGTAGGTTGTGTGCAGAAGAAAAGGCATCGGTCCTGAAATCTCTGAGCATGAAATTGCACACAATTCTTCTTGGGAGGTTTAAGGAGATACCTCATGGCAGCTTCCTCGTTGTCAGTCAATTTTCATTTTCCTTCTGTTCTCAATAAAACTTCAGTATGTCAGTTGGGAAGACATTATGAAAATAAAATGATGTTTTTGAGCTTTTATTGAGGCTGAATGTGGTCATATTATCAGGTTTAAGCCAGAGATGTAGGTGGAAGTGTTGTTTGGAAGCTCCAGGAAATGTCCTTGAAGGACAGATGTGGTGTACCTTGCCTTTCCTTCTTTGTCTTTACCCTTTTCATTGATTTGCCTGCAGATGGTGTGACTGAGTGATTCCCTCCAGAAGGTGGAGTAATGAGGTGGAAGCTCTGCTTGCTGGAGCTGAGTTTGACTTACCTGATTTTTACCTGAAAGAGGAACAAAATTCTATCTCCTTTAAGATGCAGTGATTCCTCCTCCTTCCCTTCCCCTTTCCCTTCCCTTTCTCCTTCCTCCTTCTCCTGCTCCTCTTCTTCTTTTTCTTCCTCTTCCTCTTTTGTTTCTTCTCCCTTCTTCCTCTTCTTCTTTTCCCTTCTTCTTTCTTCCTTCCTCTTCCTTTCTTCTTCTTTATCTTCTCCTCCTCCTCCTCCTCCTTCTTTCTCTTCCTCTTCTTCTTTTGACTGGAATTGTGGATTTATTGATTTATTTATCTTTTTAATTGTTGGTTTTTTGTTCCTTGAAAGTAAATGCCTTTTTCTTGCTTGTGTGAATGAGTGTGTACATGTGTATGCATAGCATATTTGAGGGATTTGGAGATGAAAGAATAAAGATATAAGAACCATGAAAGATTGTTTCTACAATCTTTCTACTCCTGGAGAGGAGAATTTGAGTTAATCAGAGGGATCCACTCATGCAAAAATATTTTATTATCTCTCACCATAATAGAGCTATRTAGACTGCTTCATAGTTTATAGGCCTTTAAGAAACCTGTCTAGTGCTTTGGCTTGTTTTTGCCTCCATGAATAAAAGATGCTATAAAAAACTCTGTTAATTACAGCATTTGTAGCCTTTATTTCCCTTTCCTTATACATTATTAGTATAACTCTGAAAACACAATTACTCAGGATGCCAGTGTGAGGAAATCACATAATTGGGAATACTACATCTCTATTGAGTGTTTGGTAGTGAGTAGAAAATGTTCAGTTATATATTACAAATCAGTTTATAGAAAAAGTGGGTGTGGCTGTCTTCATTGATTTCAGGTAGGTGTGTGTTGATGTATGTTCTTGTTCTCTAAAGCAAGCCAAAAGTAAGGATTGTCATAAGAGAGGTTAGGGTCAAAGAAAAAGTGGGTTAGGTAGACGTAAAAGTTCAGTTAACTGGTTTTCTATTTCTCTTATCTGTTCACAAGCTGCCTGTCATTGAGGTCTAAGGAACATTCATTCAATAGCATTTATTGAGCACCTTTTGTATGCTAATCCTTGGCTACAATCCTAGGGGAGACCAAAACAAAGACAATAAGCAGACAAGAAAAAGTTTTAGATCTGTGTTTCTTACACAGAACAAAATGTATATTTTTGTAGGCCTAATACTGAACAAACTATTTGAAACGCTGCTTTATGGCTTGAAAAGGATGCTTTTCGAATCTCTTTACAGAAATTACTTTCTTATTTTCATTTACCATAATTGTTCTAATCAAAGCTTAGGGGAAAATGTGATTACTGAATTTAAAGTTGTTTATTAAATGAGTATACATAAGAAATGTAAATTAAAAACGATAATGTTTTAAGACTAGAAACTAAAACATTAGTGTCATAGTAAGAAGTTGCTGTTTTCAAGGACATTTTATAATATAAAATTTCATTTTATAGTGTCTGAATAACAATAAAAGCTGAATGATGATTTTGAAGGCAATGAGAGATCTAAAAAATTTTAATATGAATAAAAATCAAAACCATGTGGTAAAGCCTGCACTTATCAGCAAAACAGAGCAGTCTATTGACATATCTCCATTCAGCTGTTAACAAAGCTGATTTACCAAAATGTTTATGATATAGGTATTATTGGACAATACCTTTAGTCTTGGGTTTCCTATTATAGGTATTAGAACTTTTATCTCCAGATTTTACCTATGTGTATAATAACTTTCTGTTAGTGCTCTTCTCTTGTTACCTATAATTACAAGTTTACATGACATTTCCTCATAAGGATGTGAGTTCCAAGAATAAAGGTCACAAGTCTTACTTATATTTGTGTTGATACCTCTTATTTTTTGCAGGTGTTTTAGAAATCGGGAAAAAACAATCAATCAATCAAATGGTGTAAGCATAATTCACTGCTGTGCTTCTAGAGTATAACACACACACACACACACACACACACACACATTCATATACCAGAGATACTGAGAGACAGAGATAAACATAGCATGACAATGGTTTGTAGTTTTTATTGATCCTAAAGTTTCTCTGTTTCTTCAAACTCTTGAGGAAACACAATTTGATAAGTTTGGTCAGGGTCATGGAAAACAGAAAGAGGGAAAAGGCAGGGCAACAGGGGATGGGAAAGGATGGAGGGAAATGGAAAGTATTGGGGAAGGAAATTGACCAAATTATACTGTGTGCCTATATGAATATATTACAAAGAATCCCACTTTAGTGAAGTAAAAAAAAAAATGGAAAAAAAGAAAACCTCAGAAATCAGGGTGGACTGATCATGATTTTAAGTGCCTATATGAATATATTACAAAGAATCCACTTTAGTGAAGTAAAAAAAAAATGGAAAAAAGAAAACCTCAGAAATCAGGGTGGATGGATCATGATTTTAAGTATGTAATAAACTGCTGGGGCTCTGTAGTGATGGCATTTTGAACAGCACAGAGACCGTAATACTGAAAGAGTGTCAACCTGTGTTTGATTCCAATTCTTTCAACACTTTGCTTCTCCGAGTCTTAAATCTCTTTTCATAAAACACACATAGCTTTCTCAGAAAATTATAGAGAACATCAAATAATGCAATAAATGAGAAAGCTCTCCTCACAAGATGTATGCTATATTCAAGGAGCTTAATAAACCTTTGTTTAATCTAAACCTAATATAAGCATTAAATTGTTCCTARTAATTTGATTAGGGGCATTCTTTGCCTTTCTCCCTTCTCCTTTTGAAAGAGTTCTTTTTCTTTGCACATCCTTTTATGTAGTATTTTTCAGTTAGTTTTTGCAAATTTTAGCTACTTTAAGCAGAAAGAAATTTATTAAAAATACATATTTCACAGAAACTGGTAAGGCTAGAAATTCAGTTTTTAAAACTATGCTTGACTTCTCCTGAGAGATCTTCAGCCATTGCTGATGGACAACAGCACTACTAGGACAGTCCCAACACACCTTCCCAGGAGGCCAACACTGTGACCTTGGAGTGTTATTGACCAGAGTGGAGCCCACATGGTTTAATGACTGCATCTAATTAGCAGAGGCTTTACACCTGGGTGTAAGAGAAACTAGAAAGGTGAGGCTCTAATTTCTACTTTTGGRACAAGAGTCCAAAGGGGGGAGGAATTCCATAAGCATAAGAAAATTGTTGAAAGGTTCTACATAATTAAAAT